TATATATATATATATATATATATGCTAGTCGATTTTTTTTATCTTTTAAAAATAAATTTTATACTGGATAAAATAGTCATTAATTTCTTTTCAATAGTTAGAACTTTAAAATTAACTAAAAGTATGATTATTAACTCTTTTTTATTTATTTATTTGAGGTATGTAGAAAATCCTAATATTTAGGACTTTGAATTTCAATAAGCTTACATAAATTATTTTCTTACTTAAACTATGTAACATAGCTATAATATTTTGCATGTTAATTTCCCTAATATTTATGTTATAATTCTAAGAGAATATAATGAATTGACAATAATGAAAAATCATGAACTACCAGTTACAGTGATACTCCTGCTAATAATTTGATTAACCCAAATCAAATTTTAAAATAAGAAAGAAATTATAGTTTTAAGATACTTTCATAGTTGTAGTCAAATTACAAAAAACTGACTTTGAATTTTAGGTTTGAGCAAATTTCATGTGCTACAGGAAACTTATGTAATTGATTTTAAATGCTTGACATCAATAGAAAAAGTCCATCAGAAATTTTCAAAGGATGTAAAAACTCTCTTTATGTTGCTTTTCAACTATTCTTATTCATACCATTAGCTTCTCATCTCTTCCACACATATACGATCTAAACTGAAACATGAATTCTACTCCCCACCAATTGCAAATTCAACAAGAAATTACTGATCCACCGGACATAAGTTCTATGCAAATAGATGATACTAACATACCTACAAAACCAGTAATTTTTCTACAAACTCTTCTATACAATAAACATCTATCACCAACACTAGTCAATCAACAAAATACAATACCTACCGCTGATCTATCTGATGAAATAATCCAACATGCTGAAGATGAAGACAATTTTATTCCAATTAGTGCTATTGATAAATCACGTTTGTACGAACCCTGAAATTACTCGGTCATAATAAAGCTGTTTGGAAGGAGGATTGCACATCATATTCTAAGAAACAAGGTCCTAGATCTATGGAAATCAACTGAAGACCTCCCTATTATTGATTTGGGATCTGACTTTTTTCTTATCAAATATCTAAAAGAAGAGAATATGATTAAGGCTCTTCATGGGGGACCATAGTTCATACTGAACTATTTTTTGTCTGTTCGAAGATGGGAACCCAAATTCATAACATCATCTACACAGCTTACATACTCGAGTATTTAGGTTAGACTTCCTGAACTTCCAACTGATTCTACGATTTGAAAATACTACAAAGAGTTGGGTCGAAGTTGGGGCAACTATTAAAGATAGACAGATACACTTCCACTGCTGCAAAGGGAAGATATTTCTTAAGGAATATTAATATAATACAGGATGCAAGTTGCTTTTACTGCCAATGGGAGGAAGAATCTATAAAATACAATTTCCTTGACTGTGCAAATGCTAAGAAATATTGGCAGGAATTAGGAATCATGCACCATATTAATAAAATCAGGCACTTATCAGTCACACAAAGTTGGTTATATGAGCTAATGGGCTATAAAGATTTCAAACTCCCTTATAATATAAATCCATACACTTACTTACCAATAAGCTTATAGAATATTTGGATAACACGAAACAAAAATAGTTACAACATGACTCGAGATAACATTCATGTTAAACACACAACTCAGCAAGCAGCTGAATTCTCATACTTGGGTGCTTCTTCTCACAAAAGAAAAAATAAAGCTATCAAAAATGTAAAATGGAATCCTCCAAAGAGTTTACAAGCTAAATACAAATGGAGCATATTCAGCTACAACTGCTGGGATTGGAGGGCTAATTAGAAATTCCACCGCTGAATGGAAATTGGGCTTCTCAGGAACTGCCTCAGGGGACACATCCATTTCTGCAGAATTTTATGCATTGACTCATGGACTAAAATTGGCATATGAAAACAACATAAAGCCACTAGAAGTGGAGGTGGATGCAACAGAAGTTATCACACTATTACAATCTAATAATATTCCATTCTCTAACATGATAAATGATTGCAGGTACTTCCTGGACCAGCTAGGTAATCCTGTAATGCAATATGCATACAGAGAAAAAAACAGGGTAGCAGATAAACTAGCAAAGACAGGCCACAATTTTAGAAACAATTATATCCCAAGTGTTTTTGAAGATATTCCAACTTTTGTTGCACAAATTTTTGAAAAAGACAGGGAATGTTTGGCAGCTCCTCCAACATGCCAAGGGAATGCTTGGCAAAAATCGAAGTGGCAATCTTGATCAGCCACCTCCGAATATGATCAGTTGTTGTGATCATGATAGTTCCACTAGGAATGCCATGACAAACATAAATATTAGTAGTAATATCTAGTACCTTGTAATGGTACGATATTTTGTAACAGGGAGCAAGCGATGCACCAACCCTCTGTACGCATTACTTAGTTAATATATATATTATCTTTCAAACTTAAAAAAATAGAAAAACTCCTAGAAATCAAACCTGTTGTGGCTATGCTGTCTATCTGATGTAGCAAGCGAAAACAAATAAATAACATAGCAAGCAAGGTTCGATCCCACGCCCTGAAAGGCAAACACTATGTGCCTCTACCACTAACACATTGGTACCTTCTGTTATTTTGAGTAACGACTATTTTATTTATCATCTTTCTTGAATATACTATAGATATATATTTGTAATTTCTATCGAAGCTTGCGGGAGGCATAACACCCCTCAGGCCTTAATAGATCCGCCCCTGTGCGAGGTTCTATTATAAATACTGAAATCGGATGAGAAAAAAGAAATTTTTTAATTGTATAGCCGTCCAGCCAAAAAAATAACTGGCATGTGTATAGTATATTTATAGTTTATTTATATTGATTATTGACTAACGGATGAAACTAGGCTTACCAAAAGAAAAAATGTCTTAACACATGAATGCTAGCATGAAACTTACTCGTGCACTTGAAAGGTAGGTCTGAAAGTCAGCTAAAGATTGGTCGTTACACAACTATTGAAACTCAATATTTGGCTTTTAATTTCCTCCTCCTTTCTCTTCAAGAAACACCACAAATTAAATTAAAGTTGATCGTAAAATCCTTTGGTCTTAGCACGAAAAAACCAAGAAAAATAATATGCTGTATACATCTTCATTTCTTTGACGACTCAATTACCTGCCACCTACAAATGGTACGTCTTTTTATAAATATATATATAGAGAGAATTAATTATAAGTATATTTCCATTTTGTCTAGCTATCACTTTTTAATTACACGTCTCATCCTTTTAGGGTCCTTTTGGTTATTGGGATTATGAAAATAATTCCGGTATAAATTTGGTATTATTCTATAGGAGTACTTCAATTGATTGTATTTTTGAAAGTAATAATAATTGTATAATTTTATATCAGAATCTTGGTACTCCCTTCGGTCCAAAATAAGTGATTTTTTGGCTTTGTTCTTGTGGTCCAAAATAAGTGATTTTTCCAGATTTCAAGAATGAATTAATTATTTTTTTCCTACATTGCCTTTTGAGTAATTAATGTTGGAGTATGTGTTAGGAGTGTTTATATGAAGAGATAGTAAAGGTTAATATGGTCAATTTTATTGCTAATTAATGTTAAAAGGTGAGTTTCTTTAATCTGTGTGAAAACAACAAAAAAATTACTTATTTTAGACCGGAGGGAGTATTGTTTTATACCATATGTATTATGAGATAACAATCCAATGATTAGGATTAGCTATTTGCTGAATAAAACAAGTAAAATGAAACTGCTTTATTATTTTGTTACTCACTATTTTTCAACATGGCTTCTATTTCAATCCTACTTAGAAATGCTTTTCTTGAGCCGAGGTAGAGGCGGCGTAAGCTCATATATGGCCAAAGTTAGGCCTAAAATTCTTATATATCAATAAAAAATTCTTACCTTTTATATAAAAAAATTTACTTTTGTACTAAAAATATTTAATAAAAGGTAAGAATTTTCTAAATAAATATTTTTATTTGAAATACCTATAAAACTGTTATTTCTAAAAAATAAAAGGGGCCTCTCAAATTTGGGGCTGAGGCACAAGCCTTATTATCTATAATACTAGAGTCATCCTTGAGCCGAAAGTCTATCGAAAACGGCCTCCTACCTACACAAGTAGGGATAAGGTCTGTGCATAAACTACCCTTTTCAGATCCCACTTGTAAAAATACTTTGGGATATATTATTATTGTTGTTATTAATCTCATTGTTAGTTTACATGCAGTCTTTTGTTCCCATGATGCTTCGAGTTTTGGTCAGATTTGTAACATCTATAGCAAGTGAACCAGCAACTTCAGTCACTACTATTCTCTTTTACAGTGAGCTTCTTCCTCAGAGTACAGTGCTACAGAGATTGATTCGACATGAATTAGTTCTTAATGACCAAGACAATTATCTGTTACATTTACTCATTTTCCTCTTGAGCTGTTTTGTAGCTTAATTATAGATATGTATCTTAAAGTCGTTCAAGTAAAAAATGAGTTAATCATTATAGGCACATTCAAGGTTTGAAATTTATGAGTTTGTACGACAATCTCAAGTTAATAGTATAATAATAACTGGCCGAATTCAGAGTAAACTTATAGATGGTTAGTGGATTTCTTAGCATAAAGTATCCCGCATTCACGCAAGGTCGAGGAAAGTGCCGCACCTCTAGAGGTGTGATGTAGATAATCTATCCTAATACAAGCATTAGCGGTTGTTTCCACGACTCGAATCCATGACATGTACATTACAGGGTGTGATGTATACATGATTTCTTAATATATATATATATATATATATGTACATACAAGGCCAGAATATAAAAGCTATTGGATTCACGTGGACGCTTAACAGAACCTCTAGATCCGCCCTGTTTAACCAAAAAATAGAATTTTAGTCAAAGCTAGAATTTAGAAGAACGCGGGTTACTGATAATCAAAAGAATATGTAGAAGAGAATAATTTGGAGTAACCAGAATGTAATCAGGAGAAAAACAAGTGAATCAGAGTATATTTCAATTGTGTCTGTCCTTACAAGTGACTAGATACCTCCCTTTTATAGGTGTCTTGAAGGTATGCGTTTCCTTCAAATCATAATGAGGCTATTATGAATAATTAAAGACATTAAATGCTACGTTACACAATCATTGTCATCAATACAAATTCTCTAACGTATCCGGTATTTAATGTCTATCGAATTCCGTATCTGCGCTCTTTATTATGGTCAGATCCGTTCCTTTTGATAAATGATCTAAATAGGTACGGGCGCTGAATCCTTCAAATATCCTCCCGTGCCTTTTCCTTTACCTTTGCTCGTTTCTATTGTTGCCCGTGACTCTTGACTAATTATAATTCTTTGACTATTTGACCAGTCCACGTGTCTCAACATATATAAATTCAATTTTTCCCAGTACAGATAGTCCCCCCACTTTCCATTTATTCATCAATTGAATATTTGGGAAGTGGATTTCATTAAAACGAGAATTTTTGTCACCATTAATGCTATGACAAAAACTTCATACACGTGTCGATTTTTCATTGGCTCTGCAGTTTTTGCAGCCTTTTTTCAAGGTTTTTACGGTGCCACAATTAACGAAGTGTCAGTTATCATAATTATGGTATTTCCACCTCTGCACTTTTACCTTTGGCGGTTGCTTATCGGTATAAATATAATTTTTTCCTTTGTCTTTATCACATAAAGCTTATTGAACACTTATTTCTCCAAATCTTTGTTAACTTCTTCCTTAGACCATTCCTCTTCGATATGTCTTCTCCAAGCCCTAACCCTGAGAGAGTTTCCATTACTGACTCCTTCCCTAATGCCCCTGTTAGGCATATAAAGGGAGGTAGACTTCGTAGTTTAGGATCTACTCGAGGAGGTGGTTCGTCTATGCCTTCTTCTAGTTCTGGTCCTTCCTCTAGAACCAGAAGTTCCCTTTCTCAAAAATCTTCTTCTAGGAGTAAAGATCATTCTGAACCTTTACGCGAACCGTTAGTAGATGAAATAGTTCCTTCAGAATTGTCTTTTTACCGTGACAGGGAATCTCTTAGAAACCAAGTTTCCGCATTAAATCGTGTCGATACTTACCCTACTCAAATTACAGAGGTTTTGGCTCCTGTAGTTCGTAAGGACTGCCATTGGAGTAATGATTTTCCCATTATTATCCCTAATCCGAATCAGAGAATTACTTCCTATTTAACGGGGTTCTCTTTTGTTTACACTTACCCTTTTACTTTAGGGTTTAGACCAGCAATTGACCCAGCCATTCTCGAATTTTGCCGTTTTTTCAATGTCTGCTTGGGTCAAATTGGCCCAATCATATGGAGGGCAGTTTCCTGTTTAAGGCATTTAGCCACTAGAGCTGAAGCTTCTTTTACTTTCCCTCACTTGATTCATCTTTACTCACCTAGGCTTTTTCGTAATGGTGTTTTTACACTAGTGGCCAGGAGTAAGAGGGTTTTGGTGAGCCCTGAAGATGACAAGGATCGTGGCTGGTATGCCCGATTTGTTGCTGCCCCCACTGTTGGTTTAGTGGGTGAAGATAATGTCCCCTTTCCTGAGAAGTGAAATTTTGCACGTAGGTCTTTTATCCCTCTCGTACCTTCTTCTTTCAAATTTACCAACTTTACTAATTTTACCCCCCTCCCATTGTTTTTCTTTTAGCAACCATGGGAGTTGTGGGGGATGTTCCCAATTTCCGTGGTTAGGTAGATAAATTGCTGAAGATCGCGCCAATGGACGGTAGATCTTGGAAAACACTTTCTAACCGCTTTGGATGGAATGTTAAGACTCACGGTAAGAGTTCATATTTTGTTTTTTTATGCCTATATTCTCCTTTATTGTTTTAACTTTTATCCTTCTTTTTGTCAGGATGTGCTATTCGAGGGGTTACTGCGGAAGCAGTTGCAGCCTCTTGTATCTCTTCGGGGACCCGTACTCCTTCGGGAACCCGTATCTCTCTAGAGAGAGCCCGAGAAATAGTCTTGGGTTCCTCTTCTACGAAAAGGAAGGCTGCTGAAGAGGAAAATTCTGAAGAAGAGGAAAATGAGAGCCCGTTGGTAACCAGACCATGAGTTAGGAGACACATTATTTCCGATGACGAAGCTGAAGTCTTGGTGTCTTTTACCGAACTTGTTGAAACCCCAATAATAATTCCCGATGATGACATCACTCCCTACGACACTCATGAGTCTATCGACCAACTTTTTGTTAGTGGATTTGGTCGTGAAGATGTTGGGCCTGTTTTAGACGAAGTACCTTTATCATCTTTCTCATTACCCGTGCCTGTGATTCCTTCTTTACCGGCCCCAGCTATTTCCGTTCCTTCTTCTACTGCTCTTACCTCTTCTCCTTCTCCTCCTTTGGCTATTCCCCCCTATTGTTCATCATACTGAAACGGGCTCTTTAAGTAAGAGTGCCGCTATGAGGCGGGTAACTATTGAAATTCCTGCTGAGAATAGCCTTTTGAGAAAATCAGGTCAGGCGGATATATGGCTAGAGCCTCTTATTGGCCCAATTGAAAAAGCAAAGCTGGAAAGCCATAGTTCCCTGACTTTAATGAATGACATCGTGCATGCCACTCTGAATGTATTTTCCTTCTCTCCCACTTTGCAAAATTTTTCATCTTTGAGATTCTTATTTCTTCTCTTTTCTTTTTAGGCTAATCTCATCGGTACAGAGTTGATGAAAAGAATTGCTCTTTTG